TTTATTTATTTATTTATTTATTATCCAGAGGTTGTTTTTGTAATTTACTTTACAAATAGAAAATGGATGATGTGTCAGGAGGATAGTTATAGGCTGGGACCATGGTTCTAAGCTCCCTCTTGGTGGTACTCAGGCAGATGATTTGTTTTATCAGGACAGAAGAGTGATGACCCTTTATCCCCTGATTATGTGCCGTCAGTGTTTGCGCACACAAAGTCCCCCGAGAAGCGGCGAGCCCTGGGAAGTCTAGGGAAGTATGAGGTCAGAGAGGCAATGAAGAAAAAAAAGCGTCAGGCGTCGTCCAAACGTGAAGCTGCCAGGGCACTCCTCAATCTGTCAGCTGAGATGAATGTGTTATGTGAGGTTGAAGAGGAGATTGTAGAAGAGGCGATTGTAGAAGAGGCTAGTATTAGTGAAACTAGTGGCAAATGTGATGCAATGTGCCAAACCAACCTCACTTCAGACTACATTGAGTCTCTTGAATTTGAGTGTCAGCAACTCCGGGGTGATACGTTTGCTCTGAAGGAGAAGCTGAAGCCCTCAGATCTGGAACAGAGCACTTTTGAAAACAGTGACAAACTTAAAACCTTTACAGGACTGCCCAACTATAAAGTGTTTATGGCAATGATTGATCTGGTAACTCCATTACTTAAGGATACAGCAAACATCACCATCTTCCACCCGCTACTGTTGACATTAATGAGGATCAGGCTTAACCTTCCGATTGCTTTTTTGTCATATCTGTTTGGTGTTCATATGTCTACAATTTCAAGAGTGTTTACAAATGTCATTAATATACTAAATGACAACTTAGTACCTGTGTGTGTGGTATGGCCTGACAGAAATGATGTCCAAACATCTCTGCCAATGTCTTTCAGAAAGTCTTTCAAGCATTGCATGTCAGTAATAGACTGTTTTGAAATTACCATTGACAGACCTAAAGATTTGAAGGCAAGGGCCCAGACATACTCTCAGTATAAATCGCACAACACCATAAAATACCTAATAGGTATAACTCCACAAGGGATAATCTCCTTCATCTCCAAGGGCTGGGGTGGGCGGTCAACTGATGCTCACATTACAGCAAACAGTGGGTTTTTGGATAATCTCCTACCAGGAGACTTGATCCTAGCAGACTGTGGCTTTAGGATTCAGGAACAAGTTGGCTTGTACTGTGCAAGGGTTGAAACTCCTGCCTTTACACGGGGGAAAAAACAGCTGGGCGCTGTTGAACTGGAAGATTCCAGAAAACTTGCAGCAGTCCGCATACATGTTGAGAGGGTAATTGGTCAAGCACGATCCAAGTACAGGATGTTGCATGGACCTGTGCCCATTAGTCTTCTGATTAAGTCATCAGAAGAAGAAGAGTTCACCTCTCTTGACAAAATAGTCAGAGTGGCTTGTGCCCTGACGAATCTGTGCCCCTCAGTGGTGCCAATTGATTAGCTAAAAAAAACTGTTATTCTTTAACAGAGAAGTTTCAAACTTAAAAAC